GACATTCTGGACTTGCCAAACTACTACGTCTGGAGTACATTAAACCAAGAGAATGAGGCTAAGACACGTACAGGACAGAACCCAGAGAGAATGTTGCCCTGGGGTGGCTTCAAGTCCATATGCCGATGAATGAAAAAACGAAATAGTACATGGGCTGGGATATAAATGAAAGAAACCTGTTACTGCACAGCTTGAGGCTGCCACTGCGGCCTTCTAAAAATGCTAGCTGACTGGCTAGCTCCTGCAAGTATTGACGCAAGAGAGCATAAAGACTCCTCATGCCTGTCTGGCATTCTGTATGCTTATTGCACTTTATAAATATTAAAGTTAGGGGTGCACTGATACCGGTATTTCAGAATAGAGTACGAGTACCGATATTTTTTTTCGGTACTCGCCAATACCGGAGTACCAGAAGTCCCATACAGGTAGCCGGGCAGCGTGTAAAGACTCGCCACCTGACTTCCCGATTAGCAAGGAAACCGTCCATATGCTTCGCGTCACTAGGTGACGAGAAAGCATGGAGCCGGCTTTCTGGCCAAAGGAAGCCAGGTGCTGTGTAATGCAGAAAAGAAATAGACACCGGCACTCCAATAATAAATCGATTACGTCTATTTATTGACGTACATCAAAAGCAAAATAACACACTTAGTGGGACGTTTCGGGGACACACAGGAACCCCTTCATCAGGCAAAACACTTGTTTTGACACGCTTTGACACGCAAACAAGTGTTTTGCCTGATGAAGGGGTTCCTGTGTGTCCCCGAAACGTCGCACTAAGTGTGTTATTTTGCTTTTGATGTACGTCAATAAATAGACGTAATCGATTTATTATTGGAGTGCCGGTGTCTATTTCTTTTCTGCATTACTTTGACGGTGGCCATCCGTCGACTACTGAGCACCCAGGATACTTTGTTGGACGTGCGGTCAGGAGTGCAATGGGTACATGGACTGTGAGGTGCTGTGTAATGACGCGGCACCGAGCTTGCAGATTGGCTTGGAGGCCGGCTTCATGCTCCCTTGTCAAGAGGTGACAAGGGAGCGTGAAGCCGGCTTCCCGACCAATCAGAAAGATTTAAGCCGGGCAGCGTGTCATGAAGCGCTGCTCAGCTTCCTGATACCGGAAGTATACTTCAGACTGGCATCGGTGCATTTGGGTGAGAAGGAGTACTCGCCCAAATACTCGGCATTGATACTAGTACTAGTATCGGTGCATCCCTAATTAAAGTCACAAGGTCCACATACCAGGATGGAAGCTAATATGTTCAGGAGATCATCAATAGAAGTCCCATATTTCTCTTGTGACAGATATTCTTTTCTAATTAAAGCTGAATTGCAGAGAGATATAAATGTGACAAAATCAGCTTCTGTATCTATTAAAACATCATAAAAAAATTTTCAAGCATGCAGTGTAAGTATTTGAGTTGGTATCAGACCCTTGAGAATCCCTGTACAGCAGAACTCAGAGAGATGGAGGGAGAAGCTGTATTGCTCATTTGCCAACAAGGCACATGCTGACAGAAGAAACATGCAGGGTGACAAAGATGAGCTCATCATCAGTCTGCTGCTTCTCTTTTCATTGTCCAGCCACAGGCTTGCAGAGGGACAAGACTTTTCCATTGACAATGAAAATTGTTAAATATCAAATTGTACTGCCATTCAAGTGCAAGCACCTCCAGGTGTCAATGTTAAAAGGAGAACAATGGGGTAAGTGTTTTTCCCCATAGTTCTCCTCATGGTCATGGGAGGACATAAACTAGCGTCCTCCCGTGACCCAAAGCTCAGTATACTGCGAGCTACAGCTCGGGGTATACTGAGACCGCCGCAGCCAAGACGGATACTGACATTACTGTCAAGATCCACCCAGTTGCTTAATTGAAAGCTGGCTCTGCCTATCTAGAGGCAGAGCCAGTTGTACCCACTCCCTCCCACTCCACCAGTCTGCGTTAGAGGATCGGAGCGGGAATCCCTGCAGGGAGCTGTGAGTGACAGTCACAGCTCTCTGCAGGGACATGATCGAGAAGTGAGCGACGTTATGTGTTTGCTCACTTCCCGATCCATTGAGACAACGTGTGACAGTTTCATTGTCACACGTCGGCTCGAACTATGAGGTTGAGTGAAAATCACTCACCTCATAGTTCTCCTTTAAGCCTGATGAAGGGACGGCCCGAATGCGATTGCTTTTACTTGACATGGTTCTTATTAACCAGTTGACATCCGCGGTGTTAAACCCCCTTCCCATCCAGGCCATTTTTCAGTATTCAGCGCTGCGGTACTTTGACTGACATTTATTCACATGGTTAACCTGAAAATTATTTTGTGTGCTGGTGACATCTATTCAAATGATCCATGTTACTAGTGGTGCCATCCGCAGTCACTACAAGCACACTCCCCTGTCGCTGTGGTATCTGGTAAGGAGTGCAACAAGTCTATCTCTATATTCTGCACCCCACATCTGCCTTTTTGCAGAGAACCTCCGAAACTCCAAAACCGATATGGTGACCAGTGCCCTAGGTCAACAGCTCAACACATTCCTTCTGCCTCTTGCACCTCATTATCGCCCTACCACTATGACAGGTGTCTCATAAACCAATAGTGAGTTTTTTCATAGCCGTTGGTCACTCTGCAGAGAAGCAGATCCAGCATGCAGTGCCACCTCCATAATGTGTCCATGTTGCAGGTTTGCTTTCAAGCTTGTTGTTTCCACCACTCTACACACCAGGAACGCCAGGGATCGCATACATAAAGTCTCCTTGTGTTCTGAGGTGGGAGGGGGCGTGGCGGTGCCATTCAAGTCAATGGAAATGGAGATACGGCCCCCGCACAGAAACACATGGTAATAAAATGCTCTGCTTTCCAGTGCAGTGCGATCGCAAAAAAATAGTGCATGCACAATTTTTTGCGATTGCAACGCACTGGAAAGCGGTTCATTTTATTACCACACGTTTCTGTGCAGCCGAGAATACTGCGGGCGGGGGCATATCTACAATGCCATTGACTTCAGTTCCAGGTACGGGACATTGCGGTAGACATGCAGGCTGGTGGAAACAAGCCCTCAAAGTGATGGATGGTTCTGCTAACAAATCAGAAGGTTTAGGAGGTGCAAGGATGGGCCAGGCTCGACTAATGAAGTGTTGTGGCTTTAAGTACAATGTCAGATACTCTGATCTGCTGACCATTTTGTAAGTAACTCCGGCTTGTGGATTTTTGCTTAATTTGTTCAGTTTGCATTATCCAGGTTCATGGCAGGTTCACTTAAAGAAATAATGGCTTTAAAAGAAAAGAAAAAAAAAAAAAAAGTTGCTTATAGGCCCATGAAGCCAGAAAATGTAAACCAGTTGTGTGTATGCAACATAATCCCCCTATTACTGGAACAGAATTTGAGACATACGTGTACAGACTGGACCACAATGGCCTCATTAGCTAGATCACCAAAGCACCAAAAAAAGAAAAATGTTCATATCGTGTTATTATAACAAGCCAAGCATTCCCTGGAGCACAGAGTACAAAAAGTGTAATGAGCGACAGGGTGCAATAAACTAGCATGGCAAAGTAAAAAGAGTTATTTTGAACAGATACGTTTTCAAATACCTAAACAAAATGAAACTGAACAGGGCAGTCAATACACATGGGGTTTACCCCATGACAGGATAATCCCGTCATGAAGGTTGAAGGGGTTAAATAGACTCCCAGTGGCTAAAAGTCTGTTCAGTTTTGTAGATCCGGCGGCCGGCTTTACAGTAGAAGCGTTTCTGGCAGCTCAGCTGCCGCCAGATCGCTTCTACGATATAGAAATATTTGGTTTCCACGTGTATATTATTGTGCGCTGGTTAGTACATTGCAGTATCTGTTCCTTTTCACTTAAAGGAGTCTAAAGTAAAGGTCACAGGAAGTAACTTGTGGTATGGTACTTTTGGTGCATATAAAAAGAGGTTAATAACCAAACTAATTTTACTGGGACCTTGGACTAGGGTTGTGGTTTCTCACCTACAGCTCAAACCATGTATATGCAGGAACCAACTGGACACAGTGGAATACCATGTGGTACTATTTTTAGATCCATGGTCATGTTCTACAGATCAACCAAATTTGGTTTAGGAGCCAGTTTTCTGGCCAATCTGGATGGCGTGTAATGACTCGCCAACCGCCTTCCTGATTGGTCGGGAAGCTGGCCAATCAGGAAGCTGGGCGACAAGTCATTATGCGCCCCCTGGCTTCCCGATTGGCCAGAAAGCCAGGATCCATGCTTTCTCGTCATCTGGTGGAAGCCAGGCGGCGAGTCATTACACATTCTTTAATGGGAATTCCGGTATCGGCGAGTAGTAAAAAAAAAAAAAAAATAATAATAATAATATTGGTACTCGATACTGAAAAACCGTCATTGGTGCATCCCTAATTTGGTTAAAATTAGTTAAATCTGGTCCCGATGTGCATGGTAAAGTTGCCACCGCTCCATGTTCGCTCCCATGATCAACTATAATTTTAATACAAATGGAGTGGTGGCTACTTTACAACACACACAGGGACCATGGGGAACAAAAGTAGCCACTCTCCAGAAGGAAGGACAGTGTCAGCTCAATTCAGAGATGATTTGAAGATCTACACCTGAGCAATACACAAACAAGATACATATATTTGTTAATAGGTAAGGTACTTGAATGCATTTTTAAGCATTAACTCCTGAGTTTAGTGTCCCTTTAAAGAGGAATGTGGGAGGGTTGCCCAACTTTGCAACATTATTTTGAAAACAAACTCTAGCTGGCCAAATAAACACACAATTCAATAAAATATAGGAGGTATATAACTCATAACCTGCCCAAGCATTTGTAGCTCTGTTCAAGCAGTCATGTGATCCATACATTCCCGGCACAATACATAACCAGGTCGAAGAATTCAATTTTCTTTGGCAAATGGCAAAAGGGCTTGTCAGGACAAACTGACTGTAAGTAGCCCGATGCTTAGGACAAAAGACATTATGAAGACATAGGCAATGAATATCTCACCTTAGGATCTGCCAGAGCATTGATTACATTCCCAAGAGCCAACAGTGAGCGATTGATGTTTGTGCCTTCGCGCAAGCGGTCACCCTTGGCATTTGTAGCGCTTGCTCGCTCTGAACCAGCCAGATCGATTAGGCTCATTTTGGCAATGCGGACATTTTGATTAATACTGGCACTTTTGTCTTGTTGCCTCAAGTATATCTAATGAAAAGGAAACAGCATAAAAATGTTTTCAATAAGTTTGCATTTGTTATGTTTGTCAAAGCAGAAAAGGAATTTCCAGGAAAACAGATGCACCTTATTCGCAAATTTTGAGGTTTCTTGTCCAAATGAGAGAGCACCACCAAAAGGAACTATATTATAGTAATTATTCCATCCAAAATAACAAGCTATCGTATTTCATGGTTCTGACTGTAACCACCCGAATCACTGCTTAAAGTGACACTAAACGCAGGAGTTAAATCTTTGATTGTAAAAAATGCATTTTAGTACCCTAAAGGTGCCCATACACCTTACAATTATCTGCAGATTTTCTGTGGTCAGATGGATAAAATGCAACAGATTGGCCCAGGTGTAGATTACTCCATCCACACAGTTAAGTGTAGATGGAGGAATCTGTTGCACCTTTTCCATCTGACCACAGAAGATATGCAGATAATTGTAAGGTGTATGGCCAGCTTAAAGTGACATTAAAGGATTATTTTTTCCCCCTCCCCCCAATGTTAATGTCAGCATTTCCCTTAAATGAGGTCTCTTAATCCGATCTTCTTTCATGATGTTTTCATCTGTCCCTCCAGCGGTGCGGCGCCTCTCCGATCCAGCGCTGACTCCTCTCTGCTTGCAGGCACTGAAGAAGAAAGAGAAGAAAGAGAAGAGAGAGAAGAGAGAGAAGAGAGAGAAGAGAGAGAAGAGAGAGAAGAGAGAGAAGAGAGAGAAGAAAGAGAAGAAAGAGAAGAAAGAGAAGAAAGAGAAGAAAAGGAGGAGGTACTTGTACCTTTTCTCTGACTGCCGCGCGGATGTCACCCAATTGAAAGCATATAGAATTGTGTTTCTCTCATTAACCTAATTAACATTTGAAAGCAGAAGCCAGGTTTTTAATGCTTTAACCCCTCACATTGAAACGCTTAAGTTGAGAAACTCTAACCCTAGTAAAAACAAAATTAAACTGCAAGAAGCATTTTTTAAATATTTTTTTTTAGTCTATGCTAAGTGAATAGGAACATGTAACAAATCTAAAATGGGTGTTATCCCAATTTGGCAAGCTCTAGTCTCTGGAAGCCATTTCCCTCACTCAAGCATCCAATATGCTAGCTGACCCAATGTCAACAAGGCGAAGACGTCCACCAACTTTAAAGAGTGGTAGCGCGCCTTATGCGGAGAAAGATTATTGCGAGAGCTTGGGTACTTGGAAGTCCAAGGTTTGTGGACAGAATGAGTGCCAGGCTTTGAAGTTTGCATCGGGGAATGATCAAAGAACTCTTCTCGGCCTCTGAACAATGAGCATTCTTGGGCTTTTTCTGTTGGGGCAAATGGGTACTCATGCCCCTGATGACATCCTTAATTAGGGTACAGCTATGAAGACACACTTAAAGGGCATGCAAAGCAGGCGCTTTTTGTAAGTCGGTTCTGCAGCCCATCACTTAAGCCAAAAGAGTTCTGCTCATGTTCACCAACAGGGACATTATACAGGAAATGAGACAGGCAACCTCTAACAATCTGTCCATGCAGTAGCTCAAGGAAGCAGGCATGAGTTTCAGACACTGAATAACTAAAAGATTTGTTTGAATTGTAACCAGATACCTTCTGATGACCTTAGTCCAATCAGCTGAAAGCTTGGCAGACTAAATTCGCAGCCATGGTTAGTGGATTGTGAGCAGGAGGCACTGAGAGCAGCAGGAGTGTTCTCCATGTGGCACAGATCTGACATGTTGCATTGAAAGGCAGGGGCATTGTAGCTCAAGATACAAGGTTAATGCTTGAATACTCACGAATAGGCTGCTGGCAACAGGAACAGATTCGGGCTGCCTCTCTTTTCCTAGACTCCTTCTAAGAAGCCCAAGCAAGCTGTCCATTGCTTAAGAACAGCCAAACCAGAGCCACTGAACGCCTTCAACAAAACCCTTTACTCCACAAGCCCCATTTAGGATCAACCTCAAATGCATCTTTCCATCTAAACCACCTTGAAGTTCTTGTGGCAGTGTACTGTAGTTACAGACTCCACTTGATCCACAGCCTTCTGGTAAATTCAGTTGGTGACAAGGCTGTGGAGAGGTAGGGGCATGCTGCTATTACGGTTAAAGTCAGGGAAAAAAGGTTACACTGGGTATAAAAAGAAGAAACCCAATCTAGCTAGCAATATAGAATATTTAGATTGCTACTTCCAAAAACAGTACAGGCTACCATATGGTTATCCAATACCTGTTCAGCAACATCTCGTGTCCGTTTAGTGCAAAATGAACCAGGAGATGTAGCTTTTTGTCCACTTTTACAAAATTTCCTCCACACTCCAGTAATGGGATGCTAATGTAAACCGAAGCAATTTAGTTATTTATTTCTTACCTGAAACACTGCATGAGATCGAGAAGATGTGGCGTTGACATCAGTGGGATGCTGCGTTCTATTCTTATTACCATAGTCAAGCAACTGGAGAATCTCAATAGCTGATTTTGGCTGTAGAAGGTAAAAAGAAAACAAAAAAAAAAAAACTGTAAAATGTAGGTAAAACAAATTTCTGCATGACCATTTGTTCTCTGTCAACGAGAAACTGCACTTTAAAACGAACACTTTTTCTGCAGAACTGCTTAAAAGAGAACTATGGGGTAAGTGTTCTTCCCCATAGTTCTCTTTAGGGTCACAGGAGGACATATACTAACCTCCTCCTGTGACCCAAAGCTCAGTATATAGTGAACTATTGCCCGCGATATACTGCGAGCGCGCAGCTGGGACGGATCCCGACATTACTGTCAAGATCCACCCAGCTGCGCGAGTGACAGCTGGCTCTGCCCATCTAGGAGGCAGAGCCAGCTGTGACCACCCCCTCTCCAGTCTGTTCCGTCACTCAGCGCTGGAGGATCGGAGAGGGAGGAATCCCTGCAGGAAGTGGTGACGGACAGTCACCACTCACTACAGGGAGACAATCGAGAAGTGAGCAGATCGGTGCATGTTTCTGCTTACTTCCCGATTGATAGAGCCGTCCTGTGAGATCTTCTTTGTCACAGGTCGGCTCTAACTATGAGGATGAGTGGAAATCACTCGCCTCATATTTCTCCTTTAAGACCCCTAAAAATACCCTCTAAATAATACTTTAATCTTAATTTCTAAAGCATGGATGGTTGCTATGAGCAATAGCCATTCACCAACAGCAGACATCCATTAAATGTGTTGTCTCACTAAACTCCTATTTAAGATCATTGGCGGATAGTGTGAGCCATGTCAGTGCGCACACATTTCATTTAAAAAAATGACTGACATGGAAGTGGATGTCTGCAAAAGGCTTGATTGCATAGTAATCTGATGTCAAGCACTCGGCTTTCCTGGGAGGGAGCAACAACAAGGTGATGTAAATTGCACCGCCTGGAAGTTGGGGCCAAGGTAAGCATTTTTTTTATTTTTACACTTGTTAAAAAAAAAAAAAAAAATAGAATTTTTTATTTGTGGGGAAGGGGGGGCTGTTACCAAAGCCGACCTTCAATTCAATTTTCATGGAAGACCCCCATTAACACTGAGGTTGTTTCTCATAGCAACCATGGTGCTCCCAGCACAATAAAAAGGAATACAGTCGACCCCCGAAATTTGTGGTGGTTATGTTCATAGAGCATCCGCGAATTGTGAAAAACTGCGAATTTTGAATGTGGTAAAAAATATTTTAGTTAGAGGCGTTGTGCAACATTGAAACTGTCACAGGTCGGCTCCATTGATCGGGAAGTGAGCGAACATATACCATTGCTTGATCACCTCCCTGCAGTGAGCGGTGACTGTCGGTCACCACTCCCTGCAGGGATTCCCCCCTCCTCTCTGATCCTCCAGCGCTGACTGGAGGAACGGATGGGGAGGGCACAGCTGGCTCGGTTTCTAGAAAGGCAGAGCCCGCTGTCAATCAGCCAACTGGGTGGATCCAGACAACATGAAAATTCCACAAAATTCTCACAGGTGTATGGCCAGCTTAAGCGTCAGGTTTGTAGAAGAGCGAGGTAATAATCATAAAAGATAAGAGCCTTAACTGTTAAGTAGCATTCTACATTTCCAGTTATAGATTTCTTGCTTAAATCAGTAATTAGCTTCAAAGCTCAGTACTGCGTTACATATTAGTGCTAGATATAGAAATGGTCATAAGATTTAGGTGGGTGGAAGGAATTAGCATGGCTTTACCTGATGCAACGATAATCCTTGTACAACCACTCCTTTCTGAGCATCCTCTCGCACAGCAAGGGGACCAGAGTTTGAGAGAAGGTCACGGATTTGCTCATTGTACACCTACGCAAAGTGGGAGAAAAGCTCTATATTATATAAATAAATCCAAATTAGAGTCAAAATCATAATACAATAAAAGGAGTACCATTCAGAAACAAATACCGTATATACTCGAGTATAAGCCGTCCCGAATATAAGCCGAGGTACCTAATTTTAGCCAAAAAAACTGGGAAAAAGTATATAAATGGTCCATATAGTGAGCTTGGTGACAAATTATTCTCGTTAAGGTCACTGCAAAGGACAAGGGGGAACTCTGCGTCTGGAGGAAAGAGGATTAACCTTTGCATTCGGAAAGGATTCTTCACAGTTAGTGCTGTGAAAATGTTGAACAGACTCCCCCAGGAGCTAGTTCTAGCTAGCTCGGTTAATTGTTTTAAAACAAATCTCAATGTATTCCTAAATGCACAGATTATTACTGGATACAGAGTTCTTATAGGTATATTAAGCACCAGAGATTGTTGCTCCAGGGAATATCCGATTCCTTTATGGGATCAGGAAGGAATTCTTTTCCCCTGTTGGAGCAAATTGAACCATGCTTTGAGGTTTTTTTTGCCTTCCTCTGGATCAAAAGTGGGTAGTTGTGGGCATTGCGTTCTGTTTAGGCTTTTTTTTTTCCTTCATCTCTCTATAGGTTGAACTCGATGGACATGTGTCTTTTTTCAACCTGACTATGTAACCCAAGGACCCAAAGAAGCCAGCACCAAAATACCCAGTGTCGGCTGGTGCACAGAGGGATCTGGCCTCACCGATCCCCCTGTGCTCCAGCACCAGCCAACACTGGGTATTTTGGTGCTGGCTGCTTTGGGTTATTGTAGAACCGAAGACAAAACTTTGTGGGGGGACGGGGCACTGCATCAAAAACCTGATAGGGTTCTTCTAATCCCTTTCCACTATATTCAAAACAAAACAACAACACACAAAAAAAAAAAAAAAAAAAAAAAGGAGAAAATGGCCTTCTCACTTGTTCCACCATGGCTGCATAGACTGGCTATTTTGTATTGGCTGAGCTAGAAGCAGGAGTGATACATATAATTGGGTTGGGGGGTAATTTACACAGACATGGCCACTTTGCCCAAAGCTTATCTTTGGAAAACTGTCCAAAGGAGAGAAGATACAAAAGTATTTGAGCAACCATAATCGATTGCATACGTTGGCAGCAGTAAAGCAGTTGTTAATAGGTTACATGACCCCATAAAAACCCCAGACTTAAGAAAATACAACCTTCACCTCTAGGGATGCACCGATACTAGTATCTGTATCGGTGCCGATGCCGAGTATTTGGGCGACTTACTCGTACTCGCCCAAATGCTGATGCCTACCCCGATACTTCCTGTATCAGGAAGCCGGGCAGTGCGTCAATACACACAGCCCAGGTTCCTGATTGGCCGGGAAGCTGACTCCATGCACCCTCGTCACATGTGACGAGAGAGCATGGAGCTGGCTTCCCAGCCAATCAGGAAGCCGGGCAACTTGTAATGACGAGGGATCATCGTGCCGGCTTCCCAGCCAATCAGAAGCGCCCAAAGTGACGAGAAGCATGGGGACGGCTTCCCTACTAATCGGGAAGCCGGGTTGCAAGTCTTTACACGCTGCCCAGCTTCCCGGCTAATCAGGAAGCCAGGTGGTGAGTCAAACATGCCACCTGACATTCTGGTACTAGGTATCGGCGAGTACCGAAAAAATAAATGATATCGGTATTCATACTCGATACCGAAATACCGGTATCAGTGCATCCCTACTCACTTTTAAAACTATAAAAATCAAAAATCAAAGGGTGCACAAATATGCAGTAAACAGCCCAGCAGAGGCTGCAGGTGTAATTTTGGCCATTGAAACTGAACGCAATGCATACTTGTCCCTAAAAGCTTTATTCTGGAGTTCATGAAAATATGGTCAGCTTACAACGAACAGCCATCTAACTTACTGAATTACATTCCTTACCAACAATGTGTTGTTTGTGCTAATAAGGATGTAAATCTTCGATACACAGTAAAATGAGAGCGCGCTGAGCAGCTGCAAGTGGCTTCTAGAAATACATTTATGTTGTTTTGATGTAAAGTACCAATGAAAGCGCTATTATAGATTACTGCTATGGAAAAAAGGGGCTAAAGAGAATCCATGCTGTTCTTACAAGAGCTCAAGAAAGTCACCATATAAAAGAAAGATTTGTAATAAGGACATTTTTTATACATCAAAGAGATATCTTTCCCAGCCAAGCGAGCCTTACAAATAGTCACATACAGAAGGAACAGGACAAAGCCCTTAAAGGGCCATTCCACATAAAACTAGCACTTCAGTTGCTGGAGAGTTCAAGCTCAAGTAGAGTAGAGAAAAATGGGGGAGATCTAGCCCTAATCTGAGAGCATGTGCAGGATGTTTGCACAGTCCGATGCATACTTACCTCACAAGTGTCCCCTTCAGTGCTGTCCAATGTATGCTGTCTGCCGCTGCAATGTCCCCTGCCACCACCACCTCGTCTGTTTCTACTTTTGAGTCCCCTGCTGCCCGTACAATCATGTCTATGCACAGGAGTCTCCAGCACCAGGTACTTCCCAGAATCTTACAGATGCCGGGAAGAAGTCAGAAAGTAAACTGCATGGCGTATATGCTATACAGTATACACAGAAAGTAAAAAAAAAAAAAAAAAAAACGGTTAAAAAGCGACAAGCGGGTGTTTTTTGGAAAAAAAAGACTTTGCAGGTCTCCTCTGCCAAAAAAAAAGATCTACTTTCTAACAGTTTTGTTCTTTTTAAGGTTTACTTACACTTTAAAACCATTTCAAATCCTATTGGTGAGATATATGCACATGCTGTGTCCCACATTCAGACTTTCCATCATGGACAAATCAAGTGGCAGAACATGCAAAGGAGGAAAAAAAAAAAAAAAAAACCATGCAAACCTGCCAGAAAGAAAGGAACAGAGGCAGGAATATCGTGTGGATGAAGTATCCAAGACATATTGGAACATAAGGTTTGGCTCAGCCCACTAGGCTCCACTGAACACAAAACAATGATTATGGACTGGCAGATTCCTTAGAAGGGTTACATATGTTACAAACTAGGGATGCAGCGAAATGTCAGCCCGCCGAAAACATATAGGCCAAAAATGGCACTTTTGGCTAAATGCCGAAAGTGCCATCTTTCAGTTAAAATTACCTGCTTTCTCTTCCCCCCACTGGGCGCTGCTCTGTGCCCCCTCTAACACAGCGCAGCATCCAGCAGGGAGGAAACTGTCAGAGGAGGACGAGCGGAGGCCGGCGTGCCACAAGAGGCCGGGCTCTCCTCCCGCTCAGCCTCCTGTGACAGATCAGTAGATAGGTGTGGGGGCGGAGATAGCTGTCACAGGAGGCCAGGTCAGCGTTGCAGGGGAGGAGTCAGCTGTCAAAAGGAGACTGAGCTCTCCTCCCTGCTCGCTCAGCCTCCTGTGACAGCGTGTCAGGAAGCAGAGCGAGTATAAGCAGTCACTGAACAGTGATTGCTTGTAAATAATTGAGGACAGAGTATGAACAGGAATTGATCTACTTCACAACACTTCCTGTTCATACAGGATTGTGGACATGGTAAACATAATATTTCCACAAGTTATGAATGAACAGGAACCCTCAGTATAGAGGATTCCTGTTCATTTATAACAGGGGCTGCAGAAAAAGAGATGAGGACGTAGTCCTCCATCTCTTTTTCTATTTTAAAAAAGGAAATATCAGGGGTCTGTTTAGACCCCCAATATTTCCAAAGCGCCTGTGACAGTAAAAGTGAAAAAATAAAAAAGTACTTAATCAAAATAAAATATTTTTTTTAAAGGGTTAGGAAAAAAAAATAGGTTTTGGCCTGAAATTTTTTTTATATGTCATTTTGGTCCACCTCTATTACAAACTGATTGTAAATCTAAAGTATGCTGTGAAAACAAGTGTGAAGTACAACCCCCATATAACGTGAAAAAATTTATTTTGATAAGCCCTACTTCATAAAAAGGGGTCTTATACAATAACATTGTACCCAGTGTGGTCATCTATAAACTTTAGATATCACCAGAGTTAAAGGAACTTTAACTTATATAAAATACATAAGATCATGCATCTACGAAATTATACATTGCATTAAACAAAAAAGTGGGTGCAAACCTCCAGGTAAGAGACAGCAATGTTGCAAATCTTTTCATCCTTTAAGCTGTCCATTCGGCTGTAGAGGTCCATCATTGTGAGATACATGACTCCAGGTTCTGTGGAGCAACCCAGCATAGTATGGGTCTTTCCTGCTCCTGTTGCTCCATAAGCCAATACTAGATGGGCAAAAGGGTAGATAAAAAAGCCTTTATTCCAAAATTGTTACATGTATTTCAGTAGATCTAGTAGAATTTATCAAACATCTTTAGATCATTTGCATACCATTAATAACAGATGGGTTGTGTTGGTCAGGCTCCATTGTACTTAAGAGGGCTGTCAATAATATGTGAGGGCTGAAGGGGTAGCGGTTTGGGCAAGCTTTCAGGAGAGGGAAAACACTAGGACCACATCACCAGCGTGCAAATTTTCAATCACATTCCAATGAGCAAGGTGGAGGCAAGTAGATGAGGCAAAGCTGCATGGTCTGAAAAGTGGCTTCACCCAGTGTCTAAACTACTACTACTGCTACTACTACTGCTACAGGCATGTAAACAAGATATCTATAACATTCCTGCCAACCATAATAAACATTGTAGCGTTTGTAAATAACCTGGAGCACCAGAGCCTTCAGCATTTTTCGTCTACCCCATGTTATGCATATTCTTATATTCTGTTTTTCAAGATACATAGGGATAATTCAGTAGTTTTATTGGATACAATGAGGGAAATGTATCAAAACTGGAACAGTCAAAATCTGGAGCAGTTGCCCAGGGAAACCAAAGCTGCTCGCAAAATTGATCAGTTAAGATTTGAAAATGATACAGAGAAGCCGATTGGCTGCTGTGCACAGCGGCTCCAGATTTGATATATTCCCCTCAATGTATTTTTATTTCTGAGGTTTTAAGTAGGGAGAAATAGAAAACTTAGAAAGGGTAAGTTCACATTTTCCAAAATGTCCCCAGCACATTGCTAAGCACTATTCAGGTGCTAAAAAAACTGCCCATAGCATACCTGTAGGTCCTGCATGCCTGCCTGAAAAAAGAGAAGTAGGTGGTCGACCCCCCCCCCCCCCCCTCGCTGTGTGATACAAC